ATTCGAACCGGTTTAAAAATAGCGGCCATAAAATGAATTTTTCCTGTAGTAAAGTATAGGAATTTTACAGGTTTCATTCTTCAAAATTTACAGTCCTAATTTTCAATGTATTTTTAAAATATGACCGCGTCTACTTTTTTCTTATACTTACTGTTTGAATTCAGCATTATGAAACCGGAAGTATTTACTTCCGGTAAGATATCCCAGCCTAACCTAACCTAACCTAACCTAAACTATAATTATTACATTACATTACTACAATTATTACATTATTGAACAAGAACAATTATTGTAACACCACACACAAAGAAATAGTTTAATTTTTTGTTAATTCTAATTTAGTTGCTGTTTTATCAATGAAAGCTAGACGAGTTTCTCTATTCTGTTGTTGGGTTATGCCCAACAACAGAATATGCAAAAAAAAAGTTACTTCCGTTTTTTATTTAAGGGGGGCGGAGTCTAACAAGCATATTGTTTCCGTTTCCTAATGTAAATCTTCCTGCAAATCCTAAAAAACTACTGTAGGGGAGAAGAGGGAGACTTGATCATATGGGATCACTCTTTAAAATTTCAGTAAATAAGTAGCCTAAAATTATAAAACCGGCAACAAAGCGTAGCTGTTAGTATGTCTGAAGATCCCATTTAATTTAGTTTGTATTAAAATCCACAACGAAGATCACGTGTTTATTACAAGTTTTTTGTCCCTACCGAGAAGTGTTTTCAGAATTATTTTAAGTTGATTTTCTTTAATATTCATTAAGGTTTTTCGTATAATTTTTATTTAACACTATAATCATTCAGTTTACGTTTTGCACATTTTGTAATGATTGCACATTGTTCAATTAAGAACAATGAAACATGAAAATACATTATTAAAAAATTTTTTTTTGCAAAGTTCTTACAATTTTCCATCAAGACATACAATTCTTAATACACTTAAGTATCAGATAACCTAACATTAATACCATGTTTCTTCTTTATATTGTTGTTGAACAATTTGAGCCCTTGTTTCTTAAGGATAGCTGTCAGATTGAACATACATTGACCTTGAGCAATGACTTGAGTGAATTTACAAACTAATGTCATTCTGTATGATGTGATGAACACATAAAATTTAATTTAAAAACTTAATTTTTAGAAAGTCTTTGATGACTATTAGTAATTCCAAACTACTAAATAATTTTGTAAGAATTTAAAAAAACAATCTCTATTTCCTATATATGACATTTGTCACCTGTCACTTTTGAAAAATCGTTTAAAAGGACCGACATTTGATTTCATTAGTTCTATTCAGTCTACGTCCTCACATCAATCAATGGTCGGGTTCTAAAACCCGTACCATGACAAAAAATTTTTCAATTTTTTAACGTGTTTGTGAAGTCCAGTGTCGGTTTTTTATATGTTTTATATGTTTTTAAGAATTTCAACACCTACAAAATCATAATTTTGAAATTTAAGGAAATGAGATCTCTCCTTTGTAGTGGTATTTAAAAAATTGACGTAAGTTAAAAATTACAATCTTTACCAATTAGTACTTATTAGAACATTTTATTGTAGCATAGCTCTGATGATGGCTTTGTAAAGCCGAAAGCGCTCAGCTAGGAATTGCCTAAAATATACACACTTCAAAAATACTTTTTTGCATTTTTTGCATTTTCTTTCGACTTTTCATAAGTGTGTACAAAAAAATATCAGTCTTTTGATTAATAAAAAAATACCTGCTTCGTGGAATAAACATAAGCAAGCCAGTTACGACTGGTTATACGGATTTCTGAAGAGGATGAAGACTTTATCACTACGATCTCCGGAAGCAACCAGTCTTACTAGAGCAACTAGCTTCAACAGAAACAATGTATCAAAATTTTTCATAAATTTAAAGACAGTTCTTGAAAGCAATGGAATTGGACCAGAAGCAATTTGGAGCATAGACGAAACTGGCCTTTCAACTGTCCATAAGCCAAAGAAGATTATTGCATGCAAAGGTGCAAAACAGGTTGGTAAAATTACGTCAGGGGAACGTGGACCAACAGTAACTCTTTGTGGTGCAATCAACGCAATTGGAAATCATATACCGCCTTTTTTGGTTTTTCCTCGAAAACTTTGGCAAGATCGCATGATTGACCATAGCCCACCAGGGACCACCGGCGTAGTTTATGAAAGTGGATGGATGACCGCTTCTAATTTCGTCAAATTTTTGTAACATTTTCAAAAACATGTAAAGGCGACTACCGACAATAAATCTTTAATCATAATGGACAATCACGATAGCCACGTTAGTCTGGAAGCCATAACGTATGCCAAAGCACACGGAATAGTTCTTCTTACCATACCACCACATACGCCGCATAAGCTCCAGGCGTTAGACACGAGTGTATTTGGCCCTCTCAAGAGTTTTTATAATACTGCCTGTGATGATTGGATGGTGGCGCACCTAGGAAGGACAATTACAATATATGAAGTCGGAGGATGCTCTAGCTTACGCTTTCCCCCTAGCTTTTACTCCACGTAATATTGAGAGTGGATTCAGAGTTACGGGTATATGGCCTTTCAATTCCAATATTTTTACCGATGAAGATTTTATGTCGGCGTATGTTACTGATCGCGAAGATCCGGAAAACAAATCCACTTTATCCCAGTTTGATGTTGCACAACCAGCCATAGATAACAATAATCAACCCTCCACTTCTACTGGCACTTTCACCACCCCTGAAATTATTAGACCACATTCCTCAAGTGGATCCATTTCACATAATCAATAACTACGACGAACACTAATTGAGGACGAAAATCAGCCTTCTACTTCTACTGGTACTTTCACCACACCTCAAATAATTAGATCCCATTCTGTAAATGGAGATACTTCACAAAATGAACAGCTATAACAAACATCAAAAGAGCACAATAACCATTCTTTCCCTTCTGCCACGTTTACTAGCCCAGAAATGATTAGACCCCACCCTAAAGCCGGGCCCAGGACTTCAGCAAAGGGTGGAAAGCGAGCAACTACAAAAATTCTCACAGCAACACCAGAAAAACTTGCGCTTGAAGCTGAAGTTAAGGCTAAAGAAGAGAAAAAATTAGAAAAAGAGCAAAGGGCCAAAATAAGAGCCCTAAAAAGAATAACTAAACAAAAACTTAAGGATTTGAGGGAATCTTTAAGTTCGGGGGGCAGTGACATTATACTACCATCGTCAGAGTCTGAATATGATCCTAATGATGAAATGCAAGTAGAGACAGATAGTGAATGTGAATCGGAAGCAGAAGGTGTCGAGTTTGAGTTGAGTGTGCAAGATTGGATAATTGTCAGCTTTGTCTCCGAAAGAAACTTAGTCCATCGATACGTAGGACAGATAATGGAAAAAAAGAACGAGGATTTTAAAATCAAATTTGCCCAAAAAAGGGATGAAACAACCTTTAAGTGGCCAGAAAAAGAAGACATGGGTGAAGTCCCACGTGACCAAATTTTAAAAAAGTTACCACGCCCGACTTTTAGGAGCTACAGTAAGCGCATAGGATGTTTTGTCTTTCCCAAATCACTAAGGATGTTCAATATTCGAGAATAATTCTTTTTCTTTTATCATTTTTCAGTATAGTTTTTTGCCAGAAAGTGTTATATATTTTTAATAACATTATTTGTTATAAGTCATGACTGAGTAAAGTTAGTTTTCAGCATCCAATTTTTGGTTTTATTTTAATATCGTAAATCTGGAAAGGTATAATCAAGTCTCCCATACACAAGGATCAAGTCTCCCGGAGTACGGGGAGACATGATTAGTTTCTCCATGTTACGAAATTCCACAAAAACTCGTTTTTTATTAGCAGTATATTTTTCGGGTGTACAACACCCAAAACTGTGATAAATTTGTAATGTTCCACTAAATTATCAAGGTTCTAGATTGGTTGTAAAAGGAGCTATCTGAAAAAATGTAACGGTGGGATCAAGTCTCCCTCTTCTCCCCTATCGATTTTCAATTTAAAAAAATTGACGTCGATACAGTTTATTTTTAGGTTTTTGGAACATTTACACCAGGCGACGGAAACGATGGATCGTTAGAATCCGCCCCTCTTAAATATCAGCAAAACTTACATCAAAACTCGATGTCGAGTTGGTCCGCTAGTTTTAAACTTAAATTGTTACTTGTGACTTATTTCCAATAAAAATAGTAATTTCATTAAGATGCCTCAAGAATATCGCTACAGAACAATTTTAATTAAAAAGAAAAAATATCTAACAAAATTATGATTACCAAGCATTGCCTGATCGATCGCTTAAAAGAACTTTTTGCAAACGACTAAACTTTTTCGAATATTAATTTGTTAACTTTTTGAATAGTGACAAGCCTAAAATATAATATACTAAAATACATACATGTGTGTATATTTATACTTATATAAACTTACAATGTCTTTTTTAGCCTAATTAGGAACCCTTATTAAACAAAACATTATACCTATTTTAAAATATCCAAATAATTTAATCACCAAATTATTTCGAGTTCATAAGAATTTTATTAAAGCATATACAAATCAATTTTAATACACGTAAATAATTTATTTAAAGTGAATAACCACGTTGTTCATGTAAAAAGTAAGTTTATTAATCTCCCAATTGAACGATAACGCAACAATACGCGGAAAACCCTACTTTTTTTGAAACAACCCAATTACATACTGAATTATAGCCAATGCCAGTGGTTTAGCGGAGTATTTAATCGTAAAATATGTTCTATTATTTTGAATAATCGTTACTAAAACAGTCTCAGCTAGCAAACAGCAATGCACCGATGCGTTAACAGCCAGTCAATCAAATAATAGTCTTACGTAAAATCACCACTTTCGCGAAAAACGCAATATTCAACCTATAATAATGTCAATCTGAAAAAAATTCTCCTTTCTCTGACAAATAAATCGATTGTAACAAGTGAAATCATTTTAGAACAAAGCTTCAGTGTAATTTATGCACTTGTGATAACACCATCGTTCAAAAAGCGATATGCACGATGTTACTGTATAAATTTATAAATGTTTTGTTGTTTGCAGTGTTAGTGTGCGCGCAGAATCCGCCTCCTAGAAACCCCAGGACTATACAAACGTTTCTTACTAGCGTTGGTGATTTATTCGGGTACGATGTGTTCAAACGGCCTAGAATAGTGATTAACATCCCCGCTGCGTTTCCAGCAGGTGCACCTGCACCGGCACCTGCACCTGCGCCGGCTCCAGCGCCTGCTCCTGCAGCAGCTCCAGCTCCTGCGCCAGCTCCAGCTCCAGCACCAGCCGCTCCACCTGCGGCAGCGGCAGCTGCCTCTCCTGTGATAGCCGCCCCTAACTTGTTAACCGAGAGTGTTCGACGGCAATTCAGTATTAATTTAAACTGGGATAGAAACGCTTCACCCCCTCAAAACGACCCTGTTATATCTGCTGTGGTTGTGTCACCACCGGGATTATCCGTACCAGCTGCAGCTGCTTCGGCTCCAGTAGCTCCCCCTGCAGCTCCTGCTCCAGCTCCAGCAGTACTGCAAGCACCGCTGCCTCCCCCACCTTCTCCCAGACAAAGGGAAAGAGAACAGGAAAGAGATAGAGAAAGGTCAGTTGATTATGAAGAACAACAGGAACGAGAGGAATACGAAGATCGGCCCAAACGTTTTCATATCGATATACCAGACTACACAAATCTAGAAGAATTAACAGAAACAAAAAGAGAAGTTGTTAATAATGGAGATGCGTCGAAAGTAAGGTTTAAAGAGGACTTTCAAAACTACTGGAAAAATGCTCCCTGGAAAGTCGAACAAGGATACAAGTACATAGTTCCCCAAGAATCAGCTTCCCAAGTCACTACAAACTTGATGGCAGTGAATAATCCAAACGCAATTCCACAAGAATTATCCAAGTACGAGGAGCTACCCTTACCCAAGGAAAACAAAGTACGTAGTTTAAAAATTATTAACAATATAGGTGTTTACGCTAAAGATTCTATCTCAGCACCATCTACTCCTGTAACATATATCCAAAAAGCACCATACAATGATGATTTTCATCAAGAACCCTCATATCTAACATCAAAGGTGGTTAATGCAGAGCTTCTTAACTACTTCAACCAGAAAAATTTCCAAAACAATCCAATCAAAGTTAGCAACCAAGAAGCAGAACCATCTTATCTTACTTCAAAAGTAGTAAATGCTGAATTACTGAACTTTTATAAACAAAAATTTAAAGAGGATGCTGCCAATAAACAACAAGAAGTTGACCAAACAGAACAAGTAGATCCTAATAATAATCAGCAACAGTTTTCATTGCCATATACACAGGAAGGTAACTATGAAAATGCTCCTTTTAATATATATTCACTTCCTCAAAATTACCAACAAGAGATCCCAGCTGACACCCCAGTGATAATTAACTATATCCAAGAAGGTAACCCATTAGATTTTTATGCCAAACCTCAATCGAATTTTAAGATTGAAGTTAACAGCGAGGAAGCAAGTGCAGAAAAAGAATCTGAACAAAACCAAAACGAAGATAAACTTGAAGAAACGAACGAAAAGCAAAATTACAAAGAAGCAGAAGCCGAAGATACTGATGATAGAAAGACTATTAATATATTTGACAATAATGCTAAAGAAAACCTTGAAGTAGAACATATCTCTGATAACGCAGAAGATAACGAAAATGATGCTGAAGGACAAAAAGAGGAATCTAAAAAAGGGGAAACTGAAAAATCTAATCAAGAAGTTGATGGAGATGATTTGCCTAAAGAAGAACAGAAAGAACAGACTACACAAGAAGAAGAGAAGGAAGAAGTTAAAGACGAAGAGTCGGATGGAGAGTACGAAAAGGCTAGAGATACAACCTACGACAGTAAAGATATAGACAGTTTTATAAAAACCCACTTTGGAGATTACAACCCGCCAGACTATGACAAGATTCGGGAGCAAATAATATCTGAAGGTGATGAAAGAGTCGAACATGCATCTGAATCTTCTGATAACGAAGAAAAAGGGGAATCAAAAAATGAAAATGAAGAATCTAGAAATGAAAATCAAGAATCCAGAAACGAAAATGAAGAATCCAGGAACGAAAATGAAGAATCCAGAAACGAAAATGAAGAATCTAGAGATGAAAATGAAGAATCCGAATCCAAGAATGAAAAACAAAAGTCTACAGATGAGAGGGAAGAAGCTAATAATGGCAATGATAACGAAAACGAAGAAATAGCAAAAATCAAAGAACTGGAACGGCAACATGAACAGGAGTTCCCCTCAGTGTTTCCGAAGTTGGGACAAGGAACGGAATATGAAGATTTTTATAAAGCATTTAAAAAAGACAAATCAGCAAATAAAAAGAATATAAAAGAACAGGAAAAAGAAAATGACAACTATTATAAAAACTTAAATTCTGCCGATGATGATGGTGATGAAAAAAGAGACTCATCAAAAACTATTGAAAAGTTTAAGCACAAAGATGAGAAGAAATCAAAATCGCTGAAAGAAAAAGAAAAGGCCAAAGATTTTAACGTACATGATAGTTACAAGAAAATCAAAGATGCTTTTACCAAAAATCTAGCGAAGAATAACAAACACAAGTTTCCGAAGGACAAAGTAAAGAATTATGTTAAGTCTGAACCCAAGAAGCAATTTACTGATAAAGACAATCACGAATCTACAGACAAGACAGTGATTCATCCTCTATACTCAGGTGTCTGGCGTATCGGCAGCCTTTCCGAGCTCTACAAAGCAAACAAACCTGTAGCGGTTCCCTTTGATCACGACTACAGCGCCTCAGAATATAGGGATAGGAATAATCGGCCAAAAAGAGACCTAGAGGGATACGAGGACGGGGCAGCACAAGTCAGGCTTTACGAGAAGGACAACGAATATGTGCCTGAACAGTATAACGAAGAATTTTCTTATGACATCGACATTTCCGAGCCAAAAACTCCGGATTATAAGGCACTTGAAGCCAAAGAATACAAAGAGGTAGATGATAAGTTATCCCCAAACGCTAAGATTCTGAGTAAGGAGTTGGGCAGGAAAACTAGTGTTGTTAGGGTGATGAAACCATCGACAGTGATTACATAAGTAACGAGTGAGGTTATATATCGTCCAATTTTATATTTACTTCGCAGTTCAGTTTATTTTTGTATTTTTATCAATTTTGTCAGATGTTTGATATTAAGATTTTAAAATGTTTCGCTATTATTTTTATTTTGTATTTCATTGTAAAATGTCAAACATTGTCGTCAAAGCTCTAACTGTTTTTACATAAAAATCATTTTATTTCAGTTCTTCTTGAGAATTATTGTTCAATTTCTTTGTACTATGAGTATTATCTATATTTTTAATCCCTTCTTTCATCTGTTATGATCGTTTACAGGTTTTTCTTCCATATTTTAATTTTTCATTTATTTTTGTATCATCTGTATGCTTGTCCGTTATTTGTTTAATATATTTAATCCTACTATTCTTATTAATATCGTTTTTTAAAATAAAATGCTAGTTGTTTGTATCTGTATCCATACTCTCAAAAGTTCTTCGACGATGTATCTATATATTGCATTTTATTAGGATGTCGGTCGAATGCCTTTGTCAAGTCTATCAAGTAGGTACATGAATATTCTCCTTCTAAATGTGCCTATCTTCTAGAGATATTGGTGACCACATTGATCCATGTTATTCTATTCACAGCAGCTCGAAATAGATCAGTTGAAGTTAGACCAGTCCACTTCCTAAGATTACCCTCTCTTACCCTCAATCTTGCCTTTAACTTGCCGCAATCAACTGTAGAAGTCTGTATTTATCATTAATATGGCCGAAGTAAGCCAATTTTCTGTTTTTTTAAAGTGTTAATAATTTCTTTGTCTTTTTTAGCCTCTGGAGAATAGTCACTTGTGTGGTGTATATATGAGACCCTCAATATACGTCGGTAGCACCACATTTCAAATGCCTCTAATCGCTTTATTACATCTTCTGTAAGGCTCCAGCTTGCTACTTCATATTATTCCGTATATTGATACTTAAAGATGCAGAGAATCTTCCTAAGGCTTTTAAAAGAGCTTCTGGCTTTTTCAATACGAGTTTTTATTTCGTAGCTGTGATCCCAAGTATCCTTAATATTGCAGCCCAAATAGCATATTTTTCCACCCTTTCTAACGGTGTATCGCCTATTATATTGTTTATGTTTATGTTCTTCTTGCAATTTAGTTTTAAGCCGTATTTGTTACATGCTTCTACAACATTATCCATCATCCTTTGGAGCCCCTAGCCCCAGAGTAAATAAATAGCGATTTGTTTTATTCGATGAATTTGTCTGTTTAAGTTGTCTTATTATAAATTTGCGTATGTTGTTGATCTATTTCTTTCTTATAGATCTTTCTAAAGTCTTTTAGATGAGGCGGTATCTGTTTGTTGTTGAGTACATCGTATAGTAACGTATTTTTTTGCTTTAAATGCTTCGAAATATTATTAGGGATGATAATTTCACTTCAAAAGGTGAGCTTAATTTTTATTAAACATTTTGTCAAAAAAAAAAATTAGTAAAATTCAATTTTTTTCTCTTTTTCCTAGATAATTTTTTAACAACTGTACAATTTTTTGGCTAATAAACAAATAGAATAACTTTTTTACTTTTCAATTACAATACGACATATTAATAAAAGGCTCAGATTAAAATAGACTTTACAGTTATGTCTTAAAGAATTATCGAATTTTTTGTATATTATAAAAATATTAATTTTTTTTGCATTTAAATAGTTTAAAAAGTGACTTAAGAGGTAATCGATCCGAGATTTAATACAATAATAAATAAAAAATTAATTTAATAAATCCTTGATCGATTACTTATTAAGTCATTTTTTAAACTATTTAAATAAAAAATATATATATATAATTTTATTTGTGTTAAATATAAAAACATTTAAACAATAAGAAATTAAACAATATTATAAGACATAATGTATTCTAATATTAGCCTTTTATTAATATAATGTACTCATTATAATTGAAAAATTATTCTATTTGTTTATTAGCTTAAAAATTGTACAGTTTTTTAAAAACTTCCTAGGCTCTTCTATTCAACGGATGTTAATGATTCTAATTTTATCGGAAAGCTTGGATATACACTTTAATTTGTAAAAAATTTATTCAAATTATTTAAATTTAAATTTGAAATATTTAAATTCAAGTATTAAAACGTATTTTGTTAAATTTACATATTTTTAAAATTACCTTCTGGGTTTGGTTTTACAATTGTGATGGTGTGATCTCGCTGTTTCCACTACTTTTCTCCATTCTTATCTCTCTTTGATTGTCCTTTTCATATTTCTAACTCCCATACTCTTTAGGTTTTCTCCTATTTGTTGTCTCAGTTTAGGTCTGCATCTGGTTCCATTATATGGTGGTATTTATTCCGTTATAACTCTTAACGAATTGCTCCTCTGTCTTCTCATTATGTGTCCATACCATCTAATTCTTTGTGCTTTTATTACTCTAACTATGTTCTCTTAGCCCATTCATTCTTGTATTTTGTGATTTATCCACTGTCTTGCATCCTCTTCATTTTCCTCTTTGGTTGCAGTATTTTTCTGATAATCTTACTCTAACTTTCAATTGCTCTTCTTCTCTTGCTGTTAATGTAAATGCTTCTGCAGTATATACTACTATTGGTCTTATGGTCATTTTGTAGATTTTCATTTTTGTGTTTGGGCTTATCTTCTCTTCTCTTAACATTTTTTTATTTCTATAAAACGCTGTATTTCCCGCTTGAGTTCTTCTTTTTATATCTACACTTTTATTTCTTCTGTTGTCTAGTACTCCCAAATATTTGAATGTTTCAACCTCTTCGAAACTGTGTGCATCTACTATCAGTTTTGTCTTCCTTTTGTTGCTTACGTTCGTGTATTTTGTTTTTCTCTCAGTTTGGCTTCGTTTTCTATTTCTTGAAAGGTTTTCTTTATTGCTACTATGGTTATATCTGCTAACCTAATATTTGTACTGCATTCTTGTATATAGTTCCTGCGTTTGACAGCTTTTTATTATCTTGTCTAGTGATAAATAGTACTGTTGAGAGCGCATATCCTTGTCTTACTTCATGTTTTATTTTTATTATTTCTGTTCTTTCTCTTCCGGTGTCTAATATTGCTCGGGAATCTTGCATTAGCATTTTTATCATTCTTATAATTTTATTTGGTATATTACAATCTTGTAAGTCTTAAATCATTTTTCTTCTATTTAGTTTTTATGTGTATATGTAACAAAGTATGTGTTTCTCTGTCATACACGTATGTTTTCTCTATCACTTGTTTAAGCATATGTATAGCGTCTATAGTGAATATTTCTTTTCTAAAACCATACTGGTAATCCCCTATGCTTTGTTCTATATATATTGTTAGTCTGTCTCTAATTATTGCAGTCATTAATTTATATGTTACATTCAGTAAATTAATTGTTCGGTGTTTTTTCATATTTTATTCTCTCCTTGTTTTGGGATTGTCACTATAATTCATTTCTTCCATTCTTCGGACATTATTTCTTTGTTCAATATATTCTGTATTAGTTCATAAATCTGTGTGTATAGTGCATTCCCACCGTGTTTTATAAGTTTTGTACATATTCCGCTCTTCTTCTCCCGCTGTGTTTCTCTCCGTTTCTTGATATATTTCTGCGAAATACTTCTGTCATTTTTCTGCTTCTATAGCTATATTAGCTGTCCGTTATCGATTCCCTAGTTTTAAGTATTGGTACAATGGTTTTTAGTTGTGCCTTTTATTGTCTGTTTGTTTTCCTTAATATTTTTCATAAATTTTTCTATGCTCTGTACAAAAATATTTGTATATTGTTAGTGAAAAGTTGCCAAAATTCTTCTTTTATATTCCTATTTTTTGAATTCACCTTATTTATGTATACTCTTAATTAGAATTTTTAACTCTTAATATAATAAAAACTATTTTCATATTTGATATATTCCTATGATTTTATCTAATTTTGTTGTGATTTTAATGAAGACATTTTCTTTGAGATTTTTATAGTTTTTTAAGATCTTGGCGTCATCTTATAATGTTCCTCTGATTATCTGCTAATTTCTATATCTCACGATTTCAGATCCTTCCAAATGTTCAGAATTGTGAACAATAATTGAAGTTTATGTTATAAATACAGATTTTGTATATCTATAAAATATCTATATATTTAAGTCCATTTAAACGTTGTAATGCATTATTCCGTAACTGTTCTACACATTGTGGAATCAGCAGTGGATCAGCTCCATACTTGCACAAGCCGCATTGAGCAAGTGATAAATAAGGCAAGAGGCCACTTCTTGGGCTCCTCTGCAAGCTGTGTGTTGCAGAAAACAACATTATTTACCTCATCATGGATACCGACATTGTACATCCAGAGTTACCGCTTGTAATATACTACAGCAGTGGATAATATTGGTGTATGTAAAGTTTTTTGAAGGTCAAAAACCAAAACTTGTTTTGTTTCATTGCTGGATTTAGCTTCATCTCCTTTTTTTCATATCCCTTACTGCCTCTGCATTCGTCGTAAATGAAGTTTTCGCAAACGTTGTATGATTTTGGTACCTTTTTATCAAAAATATTATGTCCAACTTGATCTATTAGTTGTTGTTGTTAGGAGTAAGAACATAAATACACCTAACCCTCATTTTGTTTTTGTGCAAAAAGAGCCAATTACGTTAAGTGGAAATAAAAAGTTATACGGGAAACATATTAATCTTGTAGTTTCGTCATCTGATATATAGTTTTTGTCGTTATGGCTATCGTCACTTGCTATGTCTAATAATGTAAACATAAACATCTTGTTGCTTGCCGACACCATGTTTAGTGGTTTAGGCAGCACTGGCTCAAACTGTGTCAAAGTAAGTTTTGTTTGCTAAATTTGATCATAGACCTTGTTTTATGTTAAATATCGGGATAGGTAACTTTGGCAAAAGCCGATATGATGATTTTAAAGCCAAAGAGCAAAAAAGCGCGAAATATAAAAAAAATGTGGGTTATGCAAGCATGGAACTGAGCCACTCATAATATGATTTGTTCTAGATTTTCTCTTGACAATTCCTACTT